CCCCCCGCCACCGCCGCGCCAGGCAGGACTCAACACCCCTGCCCCTACCGCCCCTACCCTGCAGATCAAAGGCGGGCTCCAGAGCCTCACCTTCAGCAGCAGCGTGGACACCAGCCAGTGAGTGCACAGGGTGGGGGGGCGGGGCCGGGGCACCTGGGCCGGGAGGCCACTGGGGTTGGGCCGGGCCGGGCTGAGGCTCCAGAGGCCCCCACCTTGCACCCCGCCCCCAGGAAGCCCAACACGCTGAAGCAGAAGAACGGCTTCCCACCCAACTTCATCCACTCCCTGGACTCCTCGCACATGATGCTCACGGCCCTGCACTGCTACAGGTGCACCAGGGCTGGGGACCCCGCGGTGGGTGCCGCCCGCTGGAGATGGGGTCAGGCGAGGACCGAAGCTCTGGGGGTCTGGGGGACCTGGTGCCCCGGAGGCGACAGGCCTCAAGGCAGGGAGGGGTTGGGATGCGGCTGACTGGGCAGGGGAGGGGCTCCAAGTGTGAAGCTGGCCCTCGGAGGGTCCCCGGGCCCGGCCTGCTTTGTGGCCTGCTGTTGACATGTGTGGACCTGCTGGGGCAGGCAGAGGGTGTCTAGTTTCTCACGGTTCTGTTAGAAATGGCTGCTCCTGTAGGGGGTGTGTGGCCGCACTGAGCCAGACTGCTGGGCGAGTTCTCTTCTTCCTGTGCCCCCCTGGGGTGGCTCGGGGACCCCCGGGATGGAGCCCTGTGGTGGAAGGGGGCCCAGCCTCAGCCGTCCCCTACGGGAAGCTGAGAATCAGTTGGGTGGCAGCGGGGGGTAGGGTGGCAGAGAGGCTTCTTCCTAAGAGGAGAACTTGTCACTTGCCTGCCGAGGGGCACGTGTGGCGCACAGACAGCTGCTGGAGTGTGCGGGGGTGAGGGGCGAGGGGAGAGTGGGCGTCACTGGACAGTGGGCCCCCCGGCTGAGCGGAGGGGAGGGGCTTGAGGTGAGAGCTGGGCCAGTGCTGGGCGGCGGTGGGGTGTGGATTGTGAGGGAGGGGACCTCAAGGCGTGGCCTCTCCACGGGGGCCCCTCACTGCTGCCGCAGGAAGGGCCTGACCTTCGTCTCGGTGCACGACTGCTTCTGGACCCACGCCGCTGACATTGCGGTCATGAACCAGGTGCAGGCCCACCCCCACTAGGGCGGACACCCCCGGCTCTCGCGCCCCCAACCTCATCCCCTCCTGACCTGGGAAGCCCGGGCCCCCTGCCCCTTGGGCCCGGTTCCTGGCTGCTGACTCCCCCCACCCCGCTGTCGCAGGTCTGCCGCGAGCAGTTCGTCCGTCTGCACAGCCAGCCCATTCTCCACAACCTGTCCAGGTTCCTGATCGAGCGGTTCTGCTCCGACCCCAGGTGAGGTTCCCCCCCCCACAGCCCAGCACCGCAGAGGCCGCTCGCCCCCCCAGGCCGCCCCAGCCTTACCCCCACCCGGCCTTTGCCCTCAGGACCTCCAAGAGCATCTGGGTCTCCAGGCTGACGGACACGCTGCTGTCTGTGCCCAAGGCAGGTGAGGCCCAGGGCTGGACAGCGGCTCACGGGCTGGGGGCGGGGCCTTCCCCAGGGCCCGCCCCCAGCCTTCTGCTCTGCTCTGCCCTGCAGGGACGTTCAACCTGGAGCAGGTGAAACGCTCCACGTACTTCTTCAGCTGAGGGCCTGTGCCGCCTCCCTGTTCCTTAGTGTGAATAAAGGTCTGTCACCACGTGGGGGCTGCTTGCCTCGGGGAGGGGCGGGCTGCGCGCCGCGTCCAGGCGGAGCGATCATACGCGGCAGGCTGGGCGCCAATGCTGTCGTTTATTGCGCGGAATGGGGGCGTGGGGCTTAGTGGGGCGTGGGGGGCGCGGGGGGCGCTGCTGCCTCGGCTCGTCAGTACATTCACCATGACGGCAGGGACTCCCCAGGCTCGCCCCCACGCTGGGGTGCTGGAGGGCGTGGTATGTGCCCACTCCAGGGCGGTCACCGCGGACGCGCGTGGACAGGGACCAGACTGGTTATTGCGTGAGCGCGATGGGGGCAGCGGGAAGCCGGCGGGCTAAGTATTGCACTTAAAAACAGATCCTCATTGGAGGGCGAGGGCGGGCGAGGGCGGGCGAGGGCGGGCGCGGGCGGGGCTCCACGGCCCTCTCCCCTTGGCCCCGGCCGGCCTGTCCCCGCTTCACAGTTGGGGGAACTGAGGCACCGAGGTGAAGGGAGCCCCCTCGCCCGCGCGCGCGGGGCCGGGCCGCCGGGGGCAGGGGCGATGTGGGTGGGCTCAGGGCGATGGGTGGCTTGGCGGGGGTGTCCCGCCGGCCCGGGTCGCCCGTCCGACTACAACTACCTACGTCTCCTCTATGGCTTCTGGGGCGGGCGGCCCGGGCTGCGCAATGGCATGGCTTTGGTCTGAGTGACAGCCCCGCCCCGGCCTGGCTGGGCCACAGGGCGGCGCGCAAGGGTCACAAGTTGGACGAGAGGCGTGAGCGCGCGGAGTCCGGCGGGTCGGGTCCGCTGGTGGCGCCAGGTGAGGGTGAGGGCGAGGCCGAGTCCCTGCGGTCCGGGCTGGGCGCTGCGGCCCGGGCGGCGGGCGCAGGCCCCAGGCGCGGCGTGGAGCTGCTGGCCGGGCGCACCGAGGCTCCGGGGCCGGGGCCGGGGCCGGGTGCGCCGTGGGGCAACGAGGGCTGCGAGGCGGACAGCGGGCGCGAGGCGCGGCTCAGGCGGCGTGTGGGCAGCGCGGGCCCGGCGCAGGGCGCGGCGGGTGAGCCAGGCACGCCGCCATAGGGCGAGGTCCGCGGTGCCCGGGGGCTGGAGGGCGCGCCCGGGGGGCTGGCAGCAGGCGCGGGCCCGGGCGAGGCAGCGGTGGGCGCGGGCCCGGGGGGCAAGCGGCGCACGAGGCGCGGCGAACCGAGCGCCAGGGGCCCAACGAGTGGGTGTGCCACCTGCGGGCAGAAGCTCATGGCCACGGCCTGCTGCAGCGTGGCGATGGCCGAGGCGCCCTGCGGCGGCGGCGGCGGCGGCGGGAAGAGGCCGACGCGCTGGCCCAGTTCGGCCTGCTGCACCATCTCGCGGTCGTACTTGACGATCTCCTGGATGATGGCGTTCTCCTGGTTGTTGAACACGCCCGAGTTGAGGTCATGCTGCACCTTGTGCAGCAGGATCGAGTTCTTCTTGCCTGGTTTAGGGGAGGGGGGCGCGTCAGAGTTGCCTGCTGCCGTGCGCTGCACACACGCATGGAGCGCCTTTGCGTGCAGTAGGCCTGCATCTGAGTGCCTGCTCTGTACAGCCAGCACGAATGGAGCCCCTCCTGCATACAGCAAACATGCCAAGTGTCTGCTGTGTATAGGAAGCTGAACTCGTACACCTACCGCATACGGCAAGCGTGAATCAGGCACCTCTGTGTGTAGCAAACAAACACATCAAGCACCTGCTTCACACACAAAGCAAGTATGAGACACCCCAATCCTGCTGGCATGCATGGAGCACTTCCTGTATACAGCAAGCATGTATTGTGCACCTGCTGTGTACACCACGCAGGTATCAGACACTTACTGTGCACAGCAGCACACGCAGACTCCTGCCTGTACACGGCCGGCATGCTGAATGCCTACCGTGTACGTAGCAAGAATGGGTTGAGTGCTTACTGTATATAGCAAACAAACACATCTAAGCAGATACTGTACAGAGCAAAATTTTAAGCGCCTCTTATAATATAAGCGTGTTGAGTGCTTTCTGCGTACTGGGAAGTCTTAACAACTCTTCCCTACTGCACCCCATTTTGCTTTTCCAGCCATTCGCTGTCTTTATTCCCACACATAGCACCAAGGGCCTCTACCTCTCTGAATCCTGCTCTAGTCTTCAGCAAGTCCTTAGCCATTTCTAAGGTTCCCCCTGCCCGGCCACCTCTCCCTTTACCCAAAGCCACCCCCCCCCC